AGTATAGTTGTTAGAATAGTTAGAACCAAATATAGCATGGTAGTTAAAACTAAACAACACGGTAGTTAGATTCTGAAGGTATAGTAATTAATTTTAAACATAGCACGATTGTTAGAACTAGACATAGCATGATTGTTAGAGTTGACGTAGCATAGTTGTTAGAACTAGACATAGCATGATTATTAAAACTAGACATAGCACGGATGTTAGAGCTTGATGTAGCATGGTTATTAGATACTAGACTTAGCATAGTAGTTAGATTCTAGACATAGCACGACTGGACGTGGCATGGTAGTTAGATTCAAAATGTAGCACATAGTTAGAACCAAACGTAGCACAGTAGTAAGAACTAAACGTGGTATGGTAGTTAGATTCTGAAGGTATAGTAATTAATTTTAGACATAGCACGGCTGCTAGAACTGAACATTGCACAGTTATTAGATTCCGGGTATAGCACGATTGTAGGGCTGGATGTAGCACAGTTGTTAGATTTTGAACGCAACACAGTAGTTAATTCTAGATGTAGCATGGTAGATAGAACTAGATATAGCATAGTAGCTAGTTTCTGGAGGTAGCATAGTAATTAATTATAGATGTAGTATAATAGTTAGATTCTAAATAGTAATTAGGTTCTAGATATAGTGTAGTTAGATATAGTAATTAGGTTCTAGACGTACTGCAGTAGTTAGTAGTTAGATTCAAAATGTATAGTAGTTATAGTAGTTAGATTCTAGATATAGTGCAGTAGTGAGTAGTTAGATTCGAACCCAGAATGAACATAGTATAGTAGTCAAAGCGAATATAATATAGTATTTAGAACTAGATGTAGCACAGTAATTAGAACTGGACATAGCACAGTAGTCAGAACTGAAAACAGCATGATAGTCTGGAAATAGCACAGTAGTTAGGGCTAGACATAGCATGGTTGTTAGAACTGGATATAGCGTAGCTATTAGAGTTGTTCATAGTATAGTTGTTAGAATAGTTAGAACCAAATACAGTACGGTAGTTAGAACTAAACATAGCATGGTAGTTAGAACTAAACATAGTACAGTAGTTAGATTCTGGAGATATAGTAATTAATTTTAGACATAGCATGGTTGTTAGAACTGGACATAGCATGATTGTTAGAGCTGACATAGCACGGTTGTTAGAACTGAACATAGCATGATTATTAGAACTAGATGTAGCACAGTAGTTAGAGCTTGATGTAGCATGGTTGTTAGATATTGGACTTAGCATAGTAGTTAGATTCTGGACATAGCACGACTAGACGTGGCACAGTAGTTAGATTCAAAATGTAGCACGTAGTTAGAACTAAATGTAGCACAGTAGTAAGAACTAAATGTGGTGTGGTAATTAGATTCTGGAGGTATAGTAATTAATTTTAGATATAGCATAGCTGCTAGAACTGAACATTACACAATTGTTAGATTCTGGGTATAGCACGATTGTAGAGCTGGACGTAGCACAGTTGTTAGATTCTGGATGCAACACAGTATTTAATTCTAGATGTGACACAGTAGATAGAACTAGATATAGCATTGTAGTTAGATTCTGGGGTAGCATAGTAATTAATAGTATAATAGTTAGATTCTGAATAGTAATTAGGTTCTAGACATAGTGTAGTTAGATATAGTATAATAGTTAGATTCTGAATAGTAATTAGGTTCTAGATATAGTGTAATTAAATATAGTAATTGGATTCTAGATATACTGTAGTAGTTGGATTTAAAATATATAGTAGTTATAGTAATTAGATTCTAGATATAGTGCAGTAGTAAGTAGTTAGATTCAAACCGTATAGTAGTTAGATATAGTAATTAGGTTCTAGATATAGTGCAGTAGTTAGTAGTTAGATTCGAAATGTATAGTAATTGGGTTTTAGATATAGTGTAGTAGTTAGTAGTTGGCTTTGAAACATATAGTAGTTAGATATGGTAATTAGGTTTTAGATGTAGTGCAGTAGTTAGTAGTTAGAACTGTAGTTAGCAGTTAGATTCGAAATGTATAGTATATATATAGTTATATATATTTAGGATATAATACAATATATAGTTATTTTTATTTTTTATGCTCTGATTTCCATTTTGTTAAGTAATTGGATCTGTTCTTTTCGAACCAATTTCTGAGCTAATTTCCAAACTAGATGATATCACCTAGAGTGAAAGTTAGCAACATTTATTTTATAATTTATTATTATTTAAATTTAAAAATTTCAATTATTTATTTTAATTATTTTTTAGTGCTTTAAAGATGCTACTTTTGAAATAAGTGCTTCATCTTATCCAACTCTTAGTTATACTATTTCTATTTATAATTATTTATTAGATTTAATTGAAAATTTTCTTAAAGAAAATTCTTATTTTAATGATATTATTAATGCTATTAATAAAGCAAAACTTAAATTACAAAAATATTTTCCAACAACTAATGGACTTGCTTATATAATTTCTACTAGTATGTAATTTTTTATTTAATTTTTTAAATAATTAAAACTAATAATTTATATATTTATTTATAGTTATTGATCCATGTCTTAAGTTAGAATATTTTAAAGATCGAGATTTTAAAGATAAAACTATTGAATTATACCAACAACAAATTGTGAATTTATGGAAAACTAAATATATGCCAACTCAAAATCAAAATAATAATCAAGTAACCAATAAATTTAGTGGACTTATGGCTTATATAGTTAAAAAAAGAAAACATAATGAGCTTGATAAACTTATAAGATATTTACAAGAACCTCCATCAAATTATGATATGGATATATTAATATATTGGAAGGTATAAAATTTATATTATATATTTATTATTTAAATAAAAATTATTTAATCAATAAAAAAATTAATTT